CTACTGGACGGCGTTGCCTCTCTGCTGCCTGTATCTCCTCATGCTCCTGGGCAACTGCACCTTACTCTGGATGATAAAGACAGACCACAGCCTCCACACACCGATGTACTATTTCCTCTCCATGCTGGCCATGGCAGACCTGGGCTTGTCTCTCTCCACCCTGCCTACCATGCTGGCGATTTTCTGGTTCCAGTCCACCTCCCTCCACTTTGAAGCATGCATTGCCCAGATGTACTTCATCCACTCCTTCTCTGCCATCGAGTCTGGGGTCCTGGTGGCCATGGCTTTTGACCGCTTTGTTGCTATTTGCTACCCTTTGCACTATGCCTCTGTCCTAACGAACTCCCTGATAATGAAGGCAGGGGGGATGATCTTCACACGGGGCATCTGCGTGGTGATACCTGTTGCTGTCCTTATTAAGAAGATGCCTTTTTGCAGGTCCCATGTCCTGTCTCACTCCTTCTGCCTGCACCAGGACATGCTGCGGCTGGTTTGTGGGGATGTCAGGGTCAACAGCTTGTACGGGCTGACCGCAGTGATCCTCACCAAGGGACTGGACTCCCTGACCATCCTTCTGTCTTACGTGATGATCATCAGAGCCATCTCCAGCATCGTCTCCCAGGAAGCACGAGCCAAAGCCTTCAGCACGTGCATCTCCCACCTCTGTGCCGTCCTGATCTTCTACATCCCGCTCATTGGCTTGTCCATCACTCACAGGTTTGGGAAGCACCTGCCCCCGCTCACTCACACGCTCCTGGCTGATGCCTATCTCCTGGTGCCACCTGTCCTGAACCCACTCGTGTACAGCTGGAAAACCAAGCAGATCCGCAGGCGGATCCTCATCCTGCTCTGCCGAGGAGGGACCCAGCGGCGGGTCTAGTCCCAGAGTGGCCATGCCCCAAGGCTCCTCCTTCCTGGACGAGTTGCTCATGGGCAATATCATCTCCTGGAGAAAACCACTCCTGCTCCATCACTTCCCAGGAGAAACCTGCCACCTCTTCTGCAATACAGCCCTTCCCTCTCTGTGGAGGAACAGGTAATAGCAAATCACATTATTCCACCTCCCATTTCGGGATGCCTCACTTCTCAGAAAGCCTGCAAGAGAGCAAGAGCTGGAGTGGCCATGTGATTAAGCTGTCCTCCTTGCAGACAAGGACATAAAAGACTGCTGAGAGCAGGCTTTCATCACTGTGAGCAGCAGGTTTGGTCTCTGAAGCAATACAAATAGTGTTGCTAGACTTGTGCTTTTAATTACAATATCCCTGTATCAGTTTGTTACAGGAAACTGCTGGTTCCCAGAGTTGATGGTCCCTTTCAGCCCACACAGCCTATGATTCTACGATTCTATGATTCCCAGCCCTTCTGGAGGTAGCCTTTCATACAGAAACAGAGAGCAGCTACTGCCTTGTAGCCCTGAGAGGTCCGTGTGAAGCTGAGTAAAGAAATTCATAGTAGTTTTGATTTGTATTTATTCTAAAAACTTCTTACTCACTTTACAGCATAATGTGGCAAAGTACCTTAGAACCATAGAATTATGGAATTATGTAGGTTGGAGACCTTTAAGTTCATCAAGTCCAACCATCCCCCAGCACTGCCAGGTCCCCACTGACCCCTGCCCCTCAGCACCACAGCGCCACAGCTGGGAAGCCCCTCCAGGGATGGGGACTCCACCACTGCCCTGGGCAGCCTGGCACAGCCCTGGACAACCCTCAAGGGCAACAAATTGTTCCTCATGCTGCCCGTTGATTCGGGTTTGTGGTATGAAGCGTTCTCTTTTGAGGCCTGCCCACATCCGCTCCCCCTGAGCCTGGCCACTCTCCAGCTGTCTCTGACTCACTGCGATTTGATGGTGTCATTTAATCATTAACAGGACCACGTGTCTTCTAACGTTTGCTGTTTGCTTTTCTATATTTGACTTTCCATTGACGGTGCCAAAAGCAATAATGTACATACCAATTTTTCTACAAGTGCTTTCCACCTGTCGATCCCTCTCTCTTATCTGCGTTTGCTCAGCCTGGTACCTACAGACTACAGTTCCCATCACAAAAATCCCTTTTGCCAGCAATCAGTGTAAGTTGTCATCTTCTACTTCACACCAGCACCTTCACAGTCTGGTAAGTACAGTAGATCTGATCTGAAAGTACAGTTTTGGTCCCCTCCCCCTCAGTAGGACCTTGAGGGGCTGGAGCGTGGCCACAGAAGGGCGACGAAGGTGCTGAGGAATGGTCTAGAGCCCAAGTGTGGTGAGGAGCAGCTGAGGGAGCTGGGGGTGCTGAGCCTGGAGCTGTGGAGGCTCAGGGGAGACCTTCTGGCTCTCCACAGCTCCCTGACAGGAGGCTGGAGCTAGGTGGGGGTCAGGCTCTTCTCCCAAGGAACAAGGGACAGGAGAAGATGAACCGGCCTCAAGTTGCCCCGAGGGAGGTTGAGGTTGGACCCAAGGAACAATTTCTTGACTGAAATGATTGTCCAGCCATGGCCCAGGCTGCCCAGGGCAGTGGTGGAGTCGCCATCCCTGGAGGGGTTTCCAAGCCGTGGAGATGTGGTGCTGAGGGACATGGGTCAGTGGGGACCTGGCAGTGCTGGGGGAACTGTTGGAGTTGATGATCATGAAGATCTCTTCCAACCTACCTGGTTCTGCGATGCTACAAACACAGGTGTGAAAATAAACCACGTCCAGATGCCATCTCACTTTCTTCTTGTTCCGGTCAACATTTGTGGTTTGTACCAATCCCACATTTTAGTCACATATGCAGCTTTCCTGCTGGCGCAGGTCACCACGCACACATCCAGCAGTGGGTTCTGCTGGGTTTGTCTCAGCAGATTTCACAGGGTTTTCTTCCATCACTCTGCAGTTGCTTTTCTCAGTGATAAAATTTCATCTGCTCTGCAAGACATAAAAAATGAGCTCTAACTATGAAGTTAAAGGAGTCTATAGACAAGCTCTGAAACTGGGTCAGATCTGGGATACTCTGATGCATACCATTGTGAGATTTTTTTATTATTATTATTTTTAGCAGCAACTGTCCAACTCCTCTGCTTATTCAGCGTTATGAGGCCCTGTTAAGTTCCAGGGAACCTGGTAGTAAATCAGCATGAATGGGGTGATCCTGAGAAGGATTACAATGGTCATTGGGAAAGTTTGTTTTATCTCTGGAATTGGACATGGACTAAGGTTCTGACCTCATTTAAGAACACAAAATCCTCTGTTTATGCCTCCATATCCGTATGTTTGCACATTGCCAGGCACAGCAGCTTTTAGCTCCATGTAAACAGATTCCATACATTAATCTCAAGCGTGAAGAATAAAGTAGGTCACGGCTGAGGCCAAAATGAACTGAACATTTAAGTACACAAAGTGAGATCCTGTAAAAGGGCATAGAGCTTTTCTAGGCTTCTGGGTTTCCCTAGATGCAGCTCTGTGTTCAGTGTTCAAATCAGAGACTACATGTGGGCCTGGAGTCCAAAGCTCCCATGATGGTCAGAGGTGGTGAGTCGATGCTGTCCGTGGAGCTCTGCAGCACATCTGCTCTAAGGTGGGCTGACATGCTCTGTAGGTCCAAACAAGGAAACCTCAAACTAAATCCTACCCCCAAAACCACATCCTAGATAGCAAACATCTTAAATTTCACCCAGTGAGTGTGACCCATTGGAGATGTTCAGAGGTCATGTATGAACAAACCCTCAGCTTTTCCCCCACCAATATCCTTCAAGAAGCTCGAGCTGGGTTATAATGACTGGGTTTCAGAAATTGCAGAATAATCCTGATCTCCAGCTGTGGGAGAAAATGAGGCATCATTGCTGCTGAGGTTGACCTTGCTGGATCATGCGGGAACCTGGCCAGCCCATATCTGGAAGCTGTTGCCCATTGTCACCAGGGGGTGGCTCTCCCATGTCCTCCTCATATTCTTCCTCCTCTCAGCACCTTACTGAGATGAATCTTGTGGCTCTTTGCCTTACTGTTGTGTCTTTTCTTGCAGAGAGGGGGAGTTTTTACAGCCTCATTTAGAAACCTGTGAACCCACAATAGTGCAAGGGATGGACTAGATGACCTGTTCAAGGCCCTTTTGACCAAATCCTCTATGATTTCTAGGATTAGCACAGAACAGATAGCATAAAACTGTATCATCATGGCTTTGATGGTTCTGAGGGCACTTGGTTAGATATTCATCTTTGCTCCTACTGCAGGGTCCTGCAGTACTGACTCTGGGTTACAACATCCAGAATATATTGCCCAGTAACAGCTTCAACTTTAATCATCAGACATCCATTTTGATGGGCAGCAGGAAGGTTTCTGTCCAGCCTCTGTGCTCTCATCTCCTTATACTCACTAGAAATTCATCTTCTGTATTGCAATGGTCAAGAGAAGTTTCCAGGCACCCAGATAAATTTTGTGCTTCATGCAAGTCCTCCCAGATCCAGGCCTACCTTTTATGATACCACCCACCACACTGATACTGACTTGATCTAGTTCCATGAAAACTGCCTTCAGTGCCTGCACTCCCTACATCTTCTTCCTCACTGAGGTGGGACTAGTTGTATGTGCCCATTGCAGTGTTCTTAAGTGAGTTCATCAGACTAATGACCTCAGAGAAACACCTCATTCCTCCTAACTTTGACAATGGAGAAAGCAGGTGGTGACTTTTTCATAGCATCATAGAACGGTTGGGGTTGGAAGGGACAAAACCCCTGCAGGGAGCAGGGACATCTGCAACTAGAGCAGGTTGCTCAGAGCCCTGGCCAACCTCCCCTGGAATGGTTCCAGGGATGGGGCAGCGACCACCTCTCGGGGCAACCTGGGCCGGGCCAAGGTCTCATCACCCCCAGTGTAAAACATTCCTTCCTTCTCTCCAGTCTCAATCTCTTTGAGTTTCAAACCATTCCCCCTTGTCCTGCCCCAACAGGCCCTGCTCAAAAGTCTCTCCCCAGCTTTCTGACAGGCCCCTGGAAGTCCTGGCAGGCCCCAAGAAGGTCTCCCCAGCTGGAGCCTTCTCCTCTGCAGGCTGCCCAAGCCCAACTCTCTCCTGCTGGGCTCCCAGCAGAGGGGTTTCCCCCTCAGGTCATGGCTGGGGCTCCTCTGACCCAACAGGTCCATTTCTTTCTTGTGCTGACTTTATTCAGCGATACCTGCATTGCCCTCCCAGGCTCTGACCTTGTTAAACACTCTTCTAAGAAACGGAATGCAGAGAAGACGGCCTCTTTAGGGCATAAAAGCCAGCACCCTGTGGGACCTGAGTAGAGTACCCCATGGCTGGCCCTACAGCCCTCGTTGCGTCTCATCTTCTGACCTTTGTGATGATGCCGGACATCACTGGAGAAGTGCCCCAAAGCCCTAAAAAAACACCTCTCCCATCAGTCTTCCCTGATTCTCCCGTTTCCCATCTCCTGGGGTTGGACTCAATGTTCTTAAAGGTCCTTTCCAACCTAAATGATTCTATGATTCCATAACCCTGCAGGCTGGAAAACACCACTGTGTGCCCAGGGCTGCCAGCAGGACACCAGGCAGCTCCACAGGAGATCTGTTAATCAGTCTTTGTCCAATAAGCAGAATTTCAGTCACAGAATCATTTCCCAAGGGCACTTTATTCTTAAAGGAAGTGCAATATTTATGAGCCCAAATTCTAAAGGAAATTTTCCCTGCAGTCCTTTGAATTTACATTGGTGTAAATGCTTTTGGCTGCTTGCTCTGTTCCACCACCCTCTTTGAGAAACCATTTCAGAGATAGAATCATAGAAATTAGAGTTGTTGTGGTTGGAAAAGAACATCAAGTCCAACCATTAATCCAGCACTACCAAGTCCACCAAGCTTACATTAGACAACTGGTCTGTGGAACAAACAGAAAATTATATCTGCATGGGCAGCAACTTCACTCAGTGTCAGTT